TATATATAATAAATATTTAAGAGGAAGTTGAGTTCATTGTTGGCTTCTATGGAGGCAATCAATGTCCGTGACGAGTGAACGACTTAACGATTATGGCGATAAAGAGATTTATCGACAAACGAATCAAGTGAAGCTATATAAACACACACGCCCATTCCAGATAATCCACTTCCGATTTGAGAAAGGCCAGGACAAAGGATGTTTTCGCTGGGCAGGATTCGCGTGTGTTTTATTGGGCACTAGATTGCACTCACTTCTGGGAGCGATTAAAATCGATTTAAGCCATTCCCGGCATAAATCAACCAGGCAAAATTCATCTGCTGGCGAAGGTCAAGACACCACGCCCAAAAACTGATGTACTAAATAATATCCATTACTGCAATATAATGTTTATCTACGAGTTGTGGCATTTGGTTGACAGCGTTTATCGGTATTTGTCATAGCTGGGAAATTGTCATTCATCAATCGTGGGGAAAAAAAATACTATTTGCCAACTTCCATTCTCAAACGGGGCGATGGAAAGCCTTTTAAATGCAAATGTTTTATTTATATTGCGGAAAAAGCAACCAAGAAAAACGTGTTATTGATGTTCCCCTATTGTTGCGTTTACTTGAAAAAACTGCTAGAACCGGAACAACAGAGTGCAAACAAAGATATTGAATCGAAAAAAAATGTTTACCACCAAACCAATATTTGCAGCAATAACTCTTCAAGTAAGAATAACTCTTGCTACTTGTAGAGTTTGCTCTTTAAAGATAGAAACTTACTTTCGATTCTTTCTTCTTTTTTAAGGATATTAAAGAGTTTTTTCTTAAATAGCTGACCCTTGTCACATCTTGGAAATATGATTATAACCCCACTGAGTGGAAAATTTCTCCGCTTGTTGCATTCTAGCCCAGCTGCTTTTGAATCTCCAGCTGCATCACCATTTGAGTTCCTTTCTCGTCGCGTCCATCCATAAATATTCATGTGACCTAATCGGTTTATGACTGCCATAATCGCCTGCACTTTGCACGTCTTTTGGTCATGAAGTTGGATTTTCTTCTTTTTCCACGGCTATTTTTTTCACTTTTCCATATTTGTATTCAGTGCTGACATATGTCCAATATGGGAATATGGGTTAATCTGGGAAAAGCAGTCGAGGAATCTTAAGTTTTCACTTAAAGAGTTATTTAAGTTTTCACTGTAAAAGACCCAAAAACTCAACATGAACATATGATAAAGAACAGACCCTCTTTTTGGGATTGTTTAAACTTAATTTGATTTGATAGTTTAAATCTGCATAAGTACTTCTGCATCGTGTGACATTCTCATGAATACAATTTTGAGAAGTTCGATAGTGCCACGGGGCGTATACGTAATTTGCTACCTATCATATGTCTATAAACTAGATTAGTAGTAAAACTACTTAACTTTTTTTCATTTATAAATTATCTTTAAAAGCTTTAAAGAGTACAAAATTTTTATTTATTTTCCTTCAAAAAATATCTGTAAATTTTTATTTTCCCTCTCAAAAGCAAAAAAGATTAGAAACTCCTTTGGATTTATTCCACGCAATCGCAAAACTCGTTTGAAACGTAAAAAATATTCAATAAAAATGGCAAATACGGGTTACATATGGCTCCGGCCAAATGCCAGCTGAGGACAAATGCGTATATTTACGCGACATATTTACGGCGTTTTAAATGAAAGCACGTGTTTAGCAAAGCAAACGATGGCGCTGATGCCTCAAATATCGCACCTAACTCGCGCCACAAAAACAAAAAAAAAACATGACCAAAGGCACAAGCAAAAGTGGCAAAAGCATCAGGGGCAACATCAGCGGCATCAGCCAAACCAGGCAACCTGAAACGAGACCATAAAATGGCGAACGTTGGCAATAAAAACTAGAACAACTGCCAGTGGGCCAAAAGTGTGGGAAAATGAGGATGGCGGTGGTGGAACGTTGAGAAGAGCTAAACGCGGGCAGGTGGAGCGCATTACTTTGAAAGTACATTGAGCTTGAAAATGACTTTGTAAATGGCGCTCGACAAATATTTTATTACTAGGGAACAGCAACAATTTACTTTGTTTGCCCCCCGCCACTCCTTGCCTTTGCTTTGTCGCTTTGCCACTTTTCTCCTTGCCACCAAGGCACTTTACTATACCTTCAAGTTTCGCTTTAATTTTAAATCAAACAATTATTAGCATCACCAGTTTCTCTCCCCTCGCAAGTTTTTCTATACCAGTGGAAATTATTGGGGCTTGTAAGTCTTAAGATTGTAATTTCTTAAAAATGTATTAGTGATAAAAGTAGGTAAAGTGAAAAATTGTAATTAAGAAAACATGAAGTCCTAGCTTTATTTATATATATGTTCTTACCCCTTTGGATATATTGCTTATACCTTATTATTTTAACCGTATTTACTTAGTAAACTACTTTTAGATTTTTGAATAACACATTATATTTACTTAATATAACCAAAGGCTGGTCATTTTCGTGTTTTTTCCATTTATTTTAATAAAAAAGCTAACAGCATTAGAAATTTATTGCCTGTAAATCCAAAATCATGCATAAATCAACGGATATTAAATCCGATTTTAATGCAAAACTTTATAATCGATGACAACGGAAATCCCATTTAATTCGTTCTTTATTGGCTAAAAATTTGCTGTTGTTTTAGCGCCTGCTGTGAAAATTTCATTAAAAATGATCAAGTTAATTTCACAAATTTGTGTGTATTTCCACTACCTCCACGGGGTATGACCACCCCAGTGGACAAGCGCCCCGAAGGGGGTTGTTTCTATGGCACTATAGAGGATGGCAGAGTTATGGAATGTTGCCAAAAATGCCAGCGGGTTAGACCTGCGGTTGCGGTTTGCCCTGTTCTGGCCCGGACGACTACGGGATTCAGTGCAGCAACACTGGTCCTCTCCGTTCCTGGCTTTTGAGTTATCCTTTTCGCGGTTACCTTTTGTCGCTGGCCATTGTTTTAGCTGCCCCATTGTTTTATATACCAGGGCTGGAGGGGATTGAAGAGGGAGAGACTCCGAGGAAAGGATTTTTGTTGTTCTGTTTGAGCTTGGCCATTGTTTTGGGGCCCAACGAAAGCGCTTTTTTTTTTTTGGTTTTTGGCTCGCTGTTTTCACTTGTTGAAGTGTTGACTTTGACGTGGTCAATGCTTAGGCACCATAACAGCTTCATTACGGGGCACGGTTTCCCAGTTGATTACAATTCACAAAATTAACGCCCATGTTGAGATTACTCCTAAATGCCTTAGCCAAAGAAGATAACGCCACCAATCTCACCACCTCCTCCTCTGGCTAGGACTTTCTCAAACTCATCCTTGGTCCTTGCCTTACGCGCGCGCTAGCGTAGTTTGCATTAATTTCGCGTTAATTTTACGCGATAATCGTATTTCTTCGTATAATAGTCTCGAAACCGGGCATTGGGCGGGGCTTTCCATATTGCTTTAATGGCGGCTAAAATGCTCTTAATGGCATCTATTTCAGATTTTATTTATGCACTCGAAAATCACATTGAAGTCTGGCGGCTACTTAGCTTTTTAGCTTGCTTGGTTGCGGGTTGAATGGTGAAAGTTACAGAAAGTATCTTTGGCAAATGGAGGATAACTAGCTGGGAATTTCAATGCCAATTGTCTATGGCAATTACTTTTTATGAGGCAGAGAAACTGAATCTATGTTTATTGATAAGAACTCTTTTAGTTTGAATGACTTCCTATTACTCTTTTAAATACAATTTTAAAAGATTTTCTGGAAAATTAACTTCAAATATTGTTACGTTTGATGGAATCCCGTATTTTATAATCCAGTTCAAATTCCATTGCAACAACCACTCAAATCAAGCCGATAATATAGATATAGAATATTGGCAATTTTGTTCTTTTGGTGGCCAACTCCATTTCAGATATTGCAACCGAATTTCGAAGCGCTTCACCATTGTAATCCCAAATCGCTTTTGTTTGATTTTCCATCCATGGCTGGCAAATTAAAAGTCGCATGAATTGGCCAAAAGCAAACAGTGGCGGATAGGGATAAGAGGGGCTGAAATGGGGATGCTAGGGTTTGGGTTAGGATGGGGAAATGAGCAATGGACCTTCAACAAAATTCTAATTATTCATTGTCGACGCGCCGCTCGCTGACAGCGAAAACAATGAGCGCACTCAACTGTGAAAACTGCAACAAAGCGCATTCCAAACTCAGACGAAAAAAAAAAGGAGAGGTGCGGGGAGTGACGCATTTACTGTCGCACTAAAAATAAAGCTTCAGGCCAAAGGATTCGCCAGCCATGAGAAACATTGTCAACATTTTTTACAATTTTCTAGTCGTTATTTACCATTGTTTCAGCTCTGACCATTGTACGAGATGCACAGTCACAGATACATAGATAGAAAGATACATAGATAAAATACGCAGATACAGATGGAATCCCTGTGTCCTTAGATACGGGTGGTGGTTGTATCCATGACTGTTGGCTATGGCAGCAATTTGCAGCATTTAGTCCAAGTCCATTTAACTTTAATGCACTCTGGATCTCTGGGTGGGTCGGTTTGCCGTTCGAGTTATCGCAGCTTCCCTTATGGAAACGCCAGCAGACGATCTTTGATTTATTGCCAGCAATCAGAAATGCATTCAACTTGGGTGATTTTCGACACAAGGACAGGGTATTCTTCATTGCCTTTGGTCTTCTCCCGACATCTCCCTGCTGACCAATTGCAAACAGTTGGCATTACTGCCAAAAAGATTTTGCCCAACTATCCGACCCACGCCCAATTAATGAATGTTTCGGGCCTTCAGCCAAAAATCCGCTTAGACGCAATGCGACAAAAAAATAAAACTGTAAATAAACGAGGTAGAAAATTCTAGTCCAACTTTATTTTCACTTTCAAGGGATTTAGGCTTTTTAAATTTGGCAGGTGTCCAATGTTAAGATAAATAAATATTGATAAGAATGGCAGGCCTAGAATATTTTGTTTTAGCACCAATTTTTAGCTTGTGGCCTAGAGTAGGCGGTGTTTTTATATTTATAAAAAATTCAATGAAAAACAGCAAAATTCTGGATTAATTTTATGTGTAAGTAAAGAATGGATGTCTCGTGTAGAAAATATAAAACAATCTATCCATTAGCCACATAGTTTTGAAGGTACCTCTGTGTAGCAGACGAGTGCACTCAAAATCCCAGTAGTTCCGATACGGAGACGGCACAGGCCCGATCGCCAGCATACTGATGGCCAAGCAAATGGTTGTGAACACGACGTCGCCAATGACTGGGCGGCGCCTGCATCGGGATGTTAACCGGCTGCTGGCCTCGGGTTACCGCACCACCGTGGATGATGACATGGCCAACCTGGATGTCCGTTTCGAGGGGCCACTGGGCACCGCCTACGAGGGCGGCGTGTGGTCGGTAAATGTGGCCATACCGCAGGAATATCCCCTGAAGGCGCCGCGCGTCCGTTTTGTCACCAAGATCCTGCACCCAAACATCGAATTCACCACTGGCCTGGTCTGCATGAATGTCTTTAAGCAGGCCTGGTCACCCAGCTACGACCTAGTGAACATTTTCGACACCTTTCTGCCGCAGCTGCTACGACATCCCAATCCGTTTGACCCATTGAATCACAGAGCCGCCTCCCTCATGAAGCACTCGGAGAAGCTCTTCCGTGAGCATGTTATCATCTGCTTGAAGATGTACGCCCGGCCCGTTTTCGAAGCACCGAAGAACCTGGCGGAGGAGGGTCTCGAGAAGCGGTCCTCGGACCTCAGTCTTTCCGATCTGTTGTCGGACGAGGATGATGATCAAGATGGAGAAGATAACCACAACAATGACTCCTCTATCGCACTGCCAGGTGACGGGGCAGATCAAGCTGGCGTTTAAGTATTTGGATGGAATTTTTTGTGTCTTTGTAAGAGAGAAATTTGTATATGAGCAAATATATCGAAATTTTAAGTACGATGAATGATTTTGTTTAAAATTACTCATTTAAACTTTCTTTTGTCTTAATAGTTATACAAACAATCAAATATAAATAATGTTACAATGGTTTTTTAAGTTAAATAAGGATTTTTTAATAAGAATAGATTGCATTTTTTATTTAATTAAATATTTTAGTTATCCGCTCGCGTCGTGTTTTTTTTACGCTGCCTCAGTTCGTTGTTCCTCTCTGAACTTCTCAAAACGAACTACTCATATTCCCGCTCTGGTATTCTTTCTGACCGATCATCTGGCCACACCCAAACTGTGATGGGACACTTTTAATAGCGGTGTCACCCTATTCCCACAATAAAATAAATATAATGCACATAAATGTAATAACCATTTATGCCATTTACAAAAATAAAAATTTCAACCAGTTTCCCTTTGCCATTACTCAAACATTTAAACAATCAACAATTTTACGGCTTGTTTAATGTCCTGAAGGAATGTTTCCTATTAAATTTCGCGCCATAATTGTGTTAAACAAGATGAAAACAGATTGCCTTAATGTTCCGATAAGAAATTAATTGTTCTCCATTAAAGAGAATTACAAATTAACTGGGCATAATTGAGGCCGATGTCAACTCCAGTCAACACATCCAAAGTGCTTCAAGCAGGTGATTTCTGATTAATTTATCTGATTAGACTAAGAGTGGTTAGGAGTTTGGCAAACCCATCAGGCGGTCAACCTGAAAAGTGGAAAACTAGTCCGTTGAATGAGTATGCATTCAGATGGAAACAATGATTTAATTATGATAATTATTTAAACAATTGTTTTTGATGGCCCAAAAGGTTCCATCTGGCTGATGGCAGTTGAAGGTTTCAAGGCCAAAAACAATAGAGCTTAATATTTGATAAATGGTTTTTGATATGTTCTTGGAATGGGCAAACGATTTACAATTCAAAATAAATTTTAAAGCAAGGAAAACTTTCCTTAATTGGTTGACCTTCTGTACAACTTTGGTAGAATCTTTAGCTAAGACTTAAATGTTGTTACCTTTCCTATTAAAGTTTTTTATGGCTCAGACCAATCAATATAACCATAAAAAAATGGAATAAGTGATAATTCGGCAAACTGGCAAAATGAATTCGTCCGCCTGTCCCCGAAAATTGGTTCAATACGGATGATGTTAGGTGGGGAAGAGGAAACACCTAGACGTGAATTTGGCTTTATTGACGCCTGCTGCTTGGCTTGGTCTGAATCTCTGAATGACTGACTGAATGAATGGCTGGCCACCTTCCTTCCTTCCTGCCAATCCCAGAGACCAGGGCCAATGTGAGTGCAGTGTTCCAGACAGTTGCGCAGACAATCCTGGCGAGAATGGGGCTGAGAGATGAGGGGCCCTGGGCAGGTCGGATGCCTGCCTGTCTGCGTGTGCTGCTGCTGCTGCTGCCATCGAATTAGAATACGACGTGGCCCAGTCTCTGTCTCTGTGGGAACGAATTTATGCAATAGTCATTGCCATTTTCGACTTTGAATGACTTTATCTTCACATTTCCACAACGAAATGATGTCTTTAGTGAGACATTGGATTGAAAATGATGGGATCCGAAGAAAGAAAGGAGTTCAAGTTAGGGGGACCAAACACGTGGCATGCTTAGAGATGGTGACATCCTAACAAATAGATTGCACAGAAATAGCTTTGTTCATCCCAAGAGCATCAAATTAATGACAACTAGAGAGTTACGCTTAGCAGACAAAGGTGAAAATTGAGCTTCCAGATAGAATTTACACAAATAAATATCACACTTTAAAGTACTTATAAAGATTTGTCCATTTTCAAATAAAGTTTACCATTTAGTTACCATTTATTGAGTTTAAAAAAAAAATTGCTTTACTTTTCAACCACATCTACGGCCTTTGATCTGAACTTTCATACTTGAAGTCATTTTTTTTTTTCAGTATAAATAAAAACGCTCGGGGCTTCGAAGTTTAATTTTCCTGCCAATGGCAGATACGAGTATGTTTCGTTGCCATATTGAGGTAGAAGAGAATATTATTCGATGATTTTTTGTGATGGTAATAAAACACTCTGTGCATAAAAACCACTTAAACTTTTTCAAATATTTCTGACTTTTAAAAATAAGTAAATGTATTAAAATTATAAGTTTGAAGAATACAATATACTCCTTTATATCAATAGTAGTGGGTAAAAAGATTAAATATAGCTTGTTTTCCATTTAAAATTTAAACGATGTGCACATGAGACAAAAACTTGTCAAAATAAAAAAAATCGAATATATTTTTGAGTCTGAAACTTATGGAAGTCTCTTTTTATATTTGAAGAATAAAAAAGAGTTTTCAGCACCAACATAAAAAGGAAAGTGTGAAAATCTGTTATTTAAAATGAAAAATAAAAAGAAATTTATGAAATTTCATCTCAACCATTTAATCAAAACAATTTTGTTGGCCACTTTAAGGCTAGACATTTCTGTGCCAATAGACTTAGTTCCAACTTAAATTGAAAATCTTTGTGCACGTCGGTGGAAAGACTTTTCAATGGCCAAATGGATGGGCCAATGGACTGTTTAAGCCAACTGTCCCCGGCATTGAGCATGCATCCGCTGGCGCTAATTTATTCAAGTCAATTGACTCGCAGCGAGGCGAGTTCAGTTTAGTTGGCTGTGCACGGTAATGTCAGGCGGTGGATGTAGGATGGAGGCTGGCCTCATTAGCATATTCTAATTAATTTATATTATTCCAAAATGCACAAAACTTAATTGGTATGGACCACTTAGTTAATGAAATTGAAGCTCCCACCAGGCTGGGACTTTCTCCAGCCCTTTTTTTTTTTTTTTTTTTTGAAGATGTTCTGCCATGCAAAATTCTTAGCTGTTGACAATTTGGCGTGACTGGGAATGAAAGCCAAGCACTACGCTTGTACTTGATGGAAAGTTTCAGCTGTACAGGGCTGCCAGCATTACATAACAATCTCTGGTAGCCGCCCCCTCTGGTCTGGAGTCTCATTAAGAAGGAGCAGCTCCTTTCTCTAGAGAGTTTCACCGTTGTTGGCAAACAAATTTCAGGCGCCATCTTCGCCGAGTTAGTTATGACTGACAACTTTTCGACACACAATTTGCATTTGGGGTTCCCACTGTTTGCAAGTTATTTCTTTCTTCCTGTTTGACAACCAAAGGACATGTGTTCCAGTTCCTCGAAGGGCTTTAGATTCATTCTCCGCATTCAGCTAATTTATACCAAGACAGCAGTAGTTGTTGACGATGCCGAGATGCGGATACGATTGCCAGAGACAGACACCTTTGTGTCTGTGTCCCCGCATAAATGTCTCGTTAATTTCGCAATCGCTCCCCACTCAGATGTATTCGACATTCCTTTGGACCTCCATCCACACTTCAGACCCTTGAGAGTTCTACGGAAGGTTTGGATTGCCAGGTGTAAATCCCCTCCTCACCCCCAAATCATGACCATTGTGTTTGCCTACACAATTGGGTCTCCCCAAGTATTCCCCCAACTGCTGGCTGGGAATGTGCAATGTCAGGACTGGAGCCATCTTTGGACAAAGCGCCAAACAATGCAGCTTCAATTACCAGGCAGCTTACAGCTTGTTTAGCTGAGAATGTTTTTGTTTGGTTCCTTGGTGGTTAGGCTCAAGGAACCTCATTCCCACTGCCAATTAGATGGAGTGGGAACGTTAGCGTTTAGGTAGATTGTTTACCAACAGACACCTTCTGCAGGAAGCCTTAAGTTTTCCCAACGATGCAGGCATTGTGGAGCCACTCAATTTGGGGCTTTTCAGCAAATATAGGTTACCTTTTGTGGTAGTTTTCGGATTGAGTAATGCTTAATAAACATTAAGACAACTCTAGTAGTTTCCTAATTGCATGGCAAATTTATCAAAAGAAATAATTTCCCCGAAATAAGCTCCAAATGGAAAGCCTCTTCCTGAAGTTCCACGAAAGAAGTCATCAATCTGTCTTGAAGATAAACCTAAACGGATGTATGACAATCCCCGGCCAACTCCAGAAAATCTCGCCCAGCCTTGAGTTGGAATGCGAATGATAAAGTAAGGCACTGAATACCACTCAGGTTTGCCCCATTCGAATTGCTGGACATTAAACGGATGTCGATAAATGAGATTGACAATGACAAACATGAAAGCGAAAAAGTAGCCAGAAAAGAGAGAAAATTCCCAAAACCATCGAGTCAATAAAATCCCCAAAAAAGCCAAATCCCGCCCCTGAGGTCACTGGGATAAACTAAAAAAGGAAATGTTAAACCAAAGCGTAGAGATCTGAGTGACAGCTGAACCTCTGCACCCGTTCCCTTGCTGGAACCCCCACCATTCCATGGGCCCTTCTCCGGGTTAACAGATGGCAGAACATATACGGTCACAGTGCCACATATGTCAACCGGAGCCAGTCCGGATGATTGCAGGCCAGTTGCGGTACACTCACAAAAGTTCACTCTCTCTATTCTCCTTTCCAATAGAGTAAAATTTATCAAAGATTTTCTTTCCTTTCGATTTAACTTTAAAATTATGCAGATTAGAAGAGAAAATTCTCTAAGTTTGCGCATTCGCTACTATTTATACTCTCAAAAGAATATAAACCGAATTTAAGAACCTTAAAGGTTCAATCTTTTTTTCTAAAGTGCATTAAAGGGTTAGGAAAAACATTTGTGATGGTCAACTGAAATGAGCAAATGTCAAGTGCAAGCCTGAGGATGGAAAAGAAAAACAAATCAAAGCCATTGCCATGGCGGGCATTTGTCAGCGTTTTGTTTAAACGTGAATTAAAGAATCTCCGCCTTGGGAATGAGAACTTTGTAATTCGGCTGCAGCCGCACAATCACACACATAAGCACACATGCATTCCCATATGGGAGATTGCTTATTTGGCTGTTGGCCACTTGGCGTGAGTGGCAAGTGCAAACATGGGTATTCCGGTGGCTGAGCGCCACTTTCTGCTACTACTGATGCTCCTGCTGTTCCTTCTGCTGTTGCTGCTGTTGCTACTACTGCTACTGCTGCATGTGCCATTTGCATAAATCAAATTTGAATTTGCATTGCTGCTGCCTGCAACGAGCAGTTGCAGTGGGTGAGAAAGAGCAGCAGCAGCAGTTGCCGACGTAAAACTCAAAGCGTTCCCAAACACACACACACACACACACAATCAGCCAGGTGTGCCAGATGGATAAACACGTACACAAGAAGGACGAGTGCAGAAACATCTACCTGCAAGTGTGTGTGCTCAAACACGCACAGGGCAATGAGCACGCAGCCAAACTTACGCACGCTCGCCCTCAAAAACAAATGCAAAACCCAAACACAAATACAAACAGCGACAAAGCAGCGCCAAAAACTCACTCCCGACAAAAGACGCTCAAACGATGTGCCATTAAAAGCTAAAAGCCAGCCAAAACTCTAGAGTCAAGTGCCTCCAGGTAAAACTTTCTCCACTCCCTATTTATAGCATACTTTTCAGCGTACACGAGAACTTCATTTTCTGGCATTGCTTTTAGTTTTTCTACATATTTCTGCCATGAGAAATTATATAAATTTTGAAAAATATCTAATGTTGAAAAAAACATCTATTAAAATATATCAATTAAAATGCTTAAACATGACATTGGCAATTATTTGTTATGACATTCGATGCTTGTATGTACAAAATTACTCATACGCCAGGTAACACGCATTAAAAAAGGATTTTTTTTAATCACCTCCAAGTATTTTATTATTATATTTTTTGCACCCAAAATTTAAGTCAAATCCTTTTTGATTCTGACATTTTCGTGTGTAGGCTGCCCTTCATCGTCAGGCTCACATTTCCTTTGATTTCTTTGCTATTTCTTGCACATTAGCTCAAAAACTTTCGTCGCTAAGTTACGGTGTGCTCACATACTCGAACTCGTGCCCACATACACACACACACACACACAAAGTGCATTAACATCCACCAGCCACGCCCAGCCCACTTTGTGGCAACTTTTTGCCTTGTCCAAATTAAATAATAAATGCGCAAAGTTGAGCAAATTTATAATGTTAAGCGAAAATTGTTGAGTGCCTTTTGAGTACATTTCTGCTGTCTTGGGTAATTGCAAGTTAATTGGTTACGCTTGACAATTACTAATTTATGAGAACAAGAAATTCACAAGTCTTTGGAATATTTAATTAAAAAGAATTATCATTTTAGAAACTATGATTAAGTTAACAAATAGAACAGCGTCTCCTCAAGTTTTGATATACCAATTTTGAATTTTTAAAGAATCTTGGCTATATTTTATCCCACCAATAAAGTATAGCCTCGAAAACTTCCAATTTATTAAAAGAGATAAATTGAGACCCGTGTTCCATTCTCACCGCGAGTGAAAAATACGAAGTATTCAGCTATTTTTTATCGTGTCACAAAAAACCGCTTGGAGGCCATTGAATGGCAGTGTCAATGTCACTACGCCAGTGGATGAAGAGCGAGGATAATGCCCTTCAATCAAGTTTGTGGCTCCATCGGCTGACGTGACTGTTGCTCATTTCACGCTTGGCCCTTCCATTGTCCTGCTGCCAAGAGGCCGACATCCCGCCGGCTGATTACCAGCGAGTTCGCAGGAAGTCCCGATAAGATTGCAGGTCCATAAACGCCAGGCCTCCTGTTAGACATGAAATTTTGGGACACGACAACGGTTAGAGGAGATGGGATAACAAATCACTTTGAGTTTCTATAACACTCGCCTGGTCGCTGCTGAGCACTTCGCATCGGGGTCGTCGCGACATTGTCAATTTCATCGGCAAATTCTAAAAAAAAAAATAACGGAAAAACTCACTCAGAATAAGGTTAGTTTTTTTAAGAAGAATCTTTAAATATATATTTTTAAAATTGTTTTTCATAAATATATCTACAAGATAAAAATAATTCTTATCCGCTTATATCAAATTTAGTTCTGAAAATTTACTTTAAAAAGTTTACTTTTAGTTTTGTGTTTTTTTTTAGAAATTTAAGGACATACTCGAAGGACTCATTTTAACTTCTTCCATTTCATAGGCTACATCTAAAAGATATAAGAAATGTTTATTAGTGTGAGTGCAATATTAAAGGATTATTTAAAAACTCTTACAATTAGGTCTCTGATATTGTTTTCTGATCTGACTGAACTTTCTGACTATCTTCCATACTTTTAGCCATCACCAAAGCATCACTGGGACCTTTGACACTCCTTGACGAGCTAGGTTCATCTGGGTCTTCCACTTTTGAAGTTGGTCTCACCTCATCCTTACCATCAAAGAAAAAATTAGAAAGAATTCCTCTACCAAAACCTCCACTTTCTCCGCCACCTTCCTTTCGAGTGTCATTGCTACCTCCGGCACCTCCTTCATCTGCTTTCCCAGCTTCTTTGTTAGCACCACGTGATCCTTCTTTTTATTATCCTTCTTATCATCATCACCTGCCCTTCTTGTTACTTTCCTTCTTACTCATAAAAGGCTCCATAATCTCCAAAGGAATGGGATATATGATCCTAACTCGGCGTTCAGTGGCAATCGATGAGAGGATCTGCAGATGCCTCAGCTAATCCACAGGAAATGCTTTAATCAAAGGCTTCATATATTTTTATTAAATTACCTGCAATGTGATCTTGTTCTCTGACATCACATCTGAGGCCTCCTTCAGGGCCTTTGAAGCTTTGAGCTCACCTTCGGCCAAAATAATCTTAGCACGCGCTTCCCTCACAGCCTCAGCCTCGCTGGCCAAGGATCTTTCCAAACTGGAAGGTAATACGATATCCATGCTAAAGTTATGAACAATTAATAAATTTGCTTAATACATTTTGTTTTACTTACACATCCACCCGCTCAACACGAACTCCCCAGCGTTCAGTGATCTTGGCTACTGCATGCTGAATTTCCCTGGAGAGCTGCTGCCTCGAGGTCAGCAAGACATTGAGCGTCTTGGAACCGACGACATTCCGCAGAGTGACCTGGGAAATCAGCTGAGTGGCCTGCCGGGCATCGTCCACCTGGATGATCGAGTCGATCGGACTGTAAATGCAATAGTAAACGACTGCATTTACAGTGATCGTCACCGAATCCTTCGTGAGCACATCCTGTGGCCGAACGTTAGCAACGTCAGTACGCATATCTACTTTGTGTACGTCATCGATACAAGGAAAGACGAATACTAAGCCTGGTCCTCGAACACCCTTCCTGCAGGAGAGAGCATATAGTATAGAGTAGTAATCAGGAGCTATCAAATAATAGCATATCTCCACCTAAGGCGACCCAGGCGAAGGATAATCAATCGAGTGTACTCTGGAACTACATTCAGACAACAGAACAGGGAAATTGGAAAAGTCACAACAAACAGGATCCAGCAGAAGATTACAGCGCACTTCTCGACAGCGGTGCTCTTATCGTCCTCAGCTGGGAAATGGGAAATACACTGATCAGAACGAAATCACTGTTAGCAAGGTTATCTTTGTCTTACTGGTTTGAATGTACCGACTTGGTGGAGCCCTACTGCCATCTCCGACATCTGCTGAGGGTCGTTGAAATTCCTGTGGCTTTGTAGGTTCTTTCAGAGGATCCCTCGGTGCATCCATCGGATGTTCTTTCTAGATATTAAGATCGCTTGTTACTTCAAATTTTAAAGTATTTAAAAAAACTCAGTACGTGACTCATGTGTATGATGTTTCATTCAAAGTTAACACTACTCATCTAACAGTTGACCCCGGAAGACCCCTGTATACAGTATTCCTATGAATATTCTCATTTATTTCCACCATACAAGCAACTGAAATTCGAGGAAATAAGAAGAAGGGGAGGGGCGTTAGATTGCATATAACCCGCAAGAGCTCATAAATTTCCCTTTTTCCCAGCTAGAAAAGCTCAACTGCAGCCCATTCACTGTCAAACCACAAAAACCCCAAAAGTGCACATTACTCTGCTTATAAGCAAGCCACTTTTTTCAAGAGAATTCATCGGTGACAGCAGGGGGAAAGGGTCAGAATATGGGATGAGGGATCGGAAGGAGAGTATCATTTGATTTGATAACCATAATAGCTTACATATCTTTTCAGTCAGATACTTATAGCCTCGACACGTACTGTACCATAGGTTAGGAGCATGGCAGCAGAAGTGTCAAAATCTGACATGGAAAAATGAACCCAACACCGAGAGCTCCTAATTTTAGTTACAAAAGCCGGTTGGCGGGCTTCTTGGCAGGCGGCACCTCTTTGTGCCGCGGAAAACCCAAGTCGGCGGGGAAGTTGAAAAAGTGGCCGGAAGAGGAATGGCAAGAGGCAGAGGTGTAGAAACTGGCTGGGGAGAAGGCTTTTCCGATGATAATACCTGGCGGCGTGAACGTGACGATGACTGGCACGATAACATTGAAATATTACCTTGGCCAAGTCGCTGTCGACCCGTCGCCGCCAAAAAAGACTCCCGGATGGCGTTCCGACGCGCCCATCGTGAGCAATTATAATTAGATGTGACTGACGCTGGGAGCTCAATTAAAAGCCACGTGGCTGGGCGAACACCAAAATTGGGTTAAAACGTGCACCGGCAAATAGTCGTGTGCAAATGTGCAGATCCCCAAACCCCCCTCAACCTCACAGCCTCAAAAAAAGCCTCTCGAAATTGTTTCTATTTCAATTTGCCAACCATGGCTTTCGGGGTGCGGAAGCGTGACATTTTGGCTGTGCCGATATTTATGCTTTTCCGAACTCAAATCCCCACATTTACACAACTTTTGGTTGAGCAAAAGGGCCGGGAGGCGGACGCCGCTGGGGGTGGTGGCGGGCGTGGTTGGAAAAGTTTTCGTTTTCATTTTCATGCCAAATTTCAGCACACACACACACATCCGCGTCTGCGGTCAACTCCGGATCCGTCCCGCTCAACCGGAAGCCTTCGGCAATGCGACGATAGGAAATTGGTTTATTTTATTCCCATCGACAGTTTGCTGCGGCCTTGGATGGCTCGGTTGGTGGTCGTAGGTGGGTCTTTTGGGTGGCAGCTCGCTTTTTGGGGAATTTCCAAATTAACATGAAAAACGATTTAACGATTTTCACTCTGAAAAATCTAATTAAGAAAAAAACAATTTCCGATTTAATTGCGCATTTTTTGTGTTTATATAGCGAATACCGAAATAATTAGAGCGCCATTAGTTGCACGCTTGACTTTTGTTTTTCCATTTTTTGAGTGAGCGAGTGAGTGTAGTTGCAGCCAGTTAAAGCCTACAAATTGACTGGTTCAGCCTGGTTTTTGGTGGCTGGCAGGCCACTCTGCCAGTGGCCTCAGTCTGGCCACGTACTAATGAAAACGAGTCCCAAATGAAGTTAGGGCCGACAGCAAATGGCGGATGGCGATAACTGGGCCAAAATAAGTAGCTCGACAGCATATGGGAAGGAGCTTACATTCATAACCGAAGATGGAATGCACTTTTCTTGGAAAGAAATAAAAATGTATCCAAGGAGAATGATATATAGACTGTGGGTTACTGTGGAATTTAACATTTTCCAAGCAAAAGAGTTAACTAAACAACAATATAACTTCATTTTCGTACATCTTAAATGATTCATCATTTTTATTGACATTTTGAGATATCTCAACTTCTTTCTGAGAGGAAACTCTCAGGCCAACAGCAAAGCTATCAGGAAAAGTAATTCCAGGACTGAAACCTTTAAAGCCATAACTCTATAGAATGGAATTCACTTCTTTAGTTCATATTTTCACCATTTACCAGTATGAAAACATGAAAATACTTCAAGTTCCAGTGCAATCTAAGATAGCTCTCAGCCAGAGTATAAGAGGGTCTTTGACCTCATATTCACTGGGCAACACACCATCCATTTTGTTTCCACCCAGTCACATGCAGCTGGAAATGCATTTGGAGTGTGTGACCGCAGGAACACCAAAAACCGAAAAGTGGAAAAAGGATGAAAGGGAGCGCCGCCCAGAAACCCAAGAATGAATGAAGTGGAAGACATGAATGGGAAAAGGCGAAACAGGATCACACTCGTATTTTCAACGCCAAAAACCAAAAAAAAAAAAAAAAAATGTAGGCGGTAAAAAATGCAGGCTAAATGTGCTCGTTAGTGGTTTTCTGGTTGAGTTTTCCCTGTCGATTGTCTGTGAGCTCCTCTACGTTCCTTTTTTTTTTTGGTGTACGAATAAACCAGATTCGTATCCATATCCGTATCGCATAAATTCAGCTTCGTTTAGCAAGTTCCTTTTGGCCCTTTTCCGGTATTCGTTGGCGAATGTTTGACTTTAAGCAAAGTCAACACGCAATTTAAATAACAATTGGCCTTTCTTTTGTGGATGATTTTTAAGTTAGTGGGTGGTGGTTGGGTTGAGTGTCATTAGCAAGACATTTATACGCCTCAGTTGAGCGCTCAACACATGTTTATGCATATCAGGAACCTTTTCCCAAGCATAAATTAAGTCAAGGCCAGGATTTTGCTGACAAGGCAAAACATTTTGCCAAACATGTGTGACTCAATGTTCAACGAAAGCTGTCTAAGAATTTGGGTTTCAGCCTGCTTGGCTGGCATTACGCACACAGTGGAGGGGAATAAGTGGTAAAAGTAGCAGAAAATCTTTTCAGTGGGGTATTAGCTCTAAGGAAACTCGGTAGCTAAACTTGTGTTTTCTTAACTAGAGAAAGTAAGAAGGTATACAGTATGCTTGTTAAGTTAAGGTAACTTAAAGGCTTACCTAATTTATATAAAGTACTATGTTAACTAAATTTTGAAGCACATCTTTTATAAATCATATTTAAAATATCTTGTTAGATTTTTTAAAATTAAATTGTCTGTAATTTTTGAGACGTTTTAAATGTATTGTTAAAGTTTTTTTATAAGCTTGCATTGCTATACTTCTTAAACCCATCCATATGTTAAGTGAATGTTTTTACACCCACAACTGGGTGAACTTAATGGAATCAGATGACCTGGTTGGACCGACTTACTGGTCACCTGCACATCTTTATCCTGTGCCTGTGCCAATGTTTTTTCCTTCTGTCGCTCTTATCCTCTTTGCATTCCCGTTTTATCTAAGCTCAGCTTTGGCATTGTTAATGCCAACACACATTTTCACATTTTTACCCCCACTTGGCAAATTTACGTATTTCCCAATGCCCCCACCTCCTAATGTCTGGAGTTTCCACCCACCCACCGCCAATGTCACGGCATTTGTACTTTCCTGCACTTTAGTGAGCGCACAAATCCGCACGAGAAACGGAGGCAAAAAAAAAAAGCGAAGGGATTTTATCTTTTCAGTCGCTTGTTGCTTTTGGCTCCTTGAAGTCGCCGTCCGGACATTTCCGGCTGGAGAAATACGTATGCTCGTATATACGTTTGGACTCGACCTGACATGGACTTATCGCCGGTCCAGATTTACGCCGGAGCCAACAACAATGTTCTCGCTGCTCCTGCTCCTGCTGCTGATTGCGGGAATTAACAGCTCCGTTTCTATGCAACATTAATTTATGGCTTAAACAGCGAACCAAAACAGTTTGGACGTGATTGAATTTATTCGAAGCTCTCGTTAGCCACAAGTATCGAATGGTATTTTCATTTTTTTTTTTTCATTTTGCACACGACTGGGGAATCCTCGTTTGCCTCTTTGCCGCCAACGTTGTCAAGTCATCTGTGCTGATTTCCATGGCAAATTTTCCACTTTCGCACCATTCATTTCCATTGGCGAACAATGGATGCCGAAAAAAAAGAAACCAAAAGTGGGAAAAAGTGTCTGCATTGAGACAAATTTAATGAAATTTCAAATTGCCATTCGCCTTCTGTCTAGATCTCAGGATGCTTTCTTCTCTGTTTTGTCAAAGCTGGTAGAGGTTATTCTGGGTTTTTGATTTGGAAAATTCGAAGAAAAATGTTAAAAACTTGGAAGGAAATCGAAATGGTTTTTATATCTTAATACGTTTAGTCTTTAAATCCATGATTATTCATGTATTTTTGTGTAGTTACTTTAAAAAAGTTTAAGAAAAGATGTTTACTAAAAAGTTTACTTGCAGAAAACATATTTTTTGGCATAATAATCCACATAAATCAACACCAGCAGCTAAAGAAATTCATAAACCTCCTAATTTTTAAATCAAATAAAAATCTTACAATGACTTTAGTATTTGAAAAGTAATATTAACTTTCTGTATAAATGAATACCACAGGAAATACATTTCCTTAAGTCCGGAAATAGGTGACAAAATCGGATTCGGTGAGTGTGAATATGGGAATCGGTTCCGTGCGTCCTTTATTCTCCATCTCAGTCGTTTCGCCTTTGCATGTCGGACACGAGGAGTCGACTCAAGTCGCCTCATTCAGGGTCTCTTTTGTGCCGCTGTGACAGCTGCTCATTTCACGCTTGGTAATTTCAATGAATTTTACGGGGATCCTAGCAGGACATGCCACGGCAAACCAACTCCACGGCACGCTATCCACTTATTTGTATGCCGCTCATTAATTAAATTTTCTCGTCTATATTCGCTGCGTTTAGTTTGAAAAGTTTCTCTTAGTTTAGTAAAGGAAATCGTTAGAATATTATCTAGAAAGTATTAATAGAAAGTTTATACTCGGGAATCACATGGGAAGTTGGTTGGCTGATACATCTGATATAGCATCCAATTTAAAAACCATTTAACCTTTTAAGGAAAGCAAATCCATACATATTATAATTCGCATCAATAAACAAATACACAATAATGTAAAACATGTAAATCACTACAAATTTGGGTAACAAACAATTTAAAAACATGAAAAAGTATTTACCAAGATTTGGTTTTTCAATACTATCTTAACATATCCGCATAACGAACTGGCAGATAGGCGAAGAAACTATTGAGCAAGGAGGCCTTTCTGACCAAGTGGGGGCTCATTGCATTCCAACAAATTCCGGTCAGGTTCATAATTTTATCGTTGAGCGGCATTCGATATTGATCTTTTAATTTCTTGGCTAACCTTCTCAGACGTGCACTGTCTTTGTAGGTGTCATCAGCGGAGAAACCTTCTCGATTAGCACTAGGTGCATTGGCCAGTTGCCTTTCCACAAGGAAAAAGGTGCTTAGTCCCTTATTGATCATCTTGCCAATCTCCTGCTGATAGTACACCTTTCCATACCGACGCTTTATCCACTCCATCATCACGAATGACTTGTGGGCATCGGGAAACGAGGCAAAGACGAGGCGTGGATCCCGACGCAGTATGGAAAATCCATCCCTCAACAATCGCTCCATCAGATGATGATTGTTGGGATCGAATTTCTTAATGTCCTTGGTCCATTGTAGATCATCAAACCTATCGCCACAAATCTGGGGCGGCTCGTCTTTTTCGTCCGAAAATTTAGGTTTTTCGGATATTATAGACTCCTGGTCCCGTTGATGGGCCTCCAAGGAGCCGAACCACATTTTCTCGGCACATTTCACAATGGCCGCCACCACCTGGTCCCGGGAATTGATACGTTCGTTGTAACCATCCTCGCTGGAGGGACAACTTTCCTCCTTCAGAGTGCGAATGGCTTCGCCGCGAATCACATCCCTGGGCGCGGGATCCTGGTTCCGCGGTGCCACCTCGTGGTAGTTGAATACAAACGGCTTGTGCCGCTGATTACTGACAAAAAGGCGTCCCTGCTTCGAAGTCTTCACACAAACGTCTTGGTTATTATCGCCGAACTTCGTCTGCGTGATGACCACCTTCCGGGGACGCTTGATGCTTCCAAGTTTAGTTGGTGGGCATCGGGAGAGCTTCTCCTCATGAGGAACCATCGGACAAGGGATGTCATCTTCTGGATCTGACACCCGTACTGTGCTCAGCCGACTCACGGTGTCCTTACCGGTAATCACGTGGACACCCAGAGTGGGCTTAACATTCAGACGACCTATGTCCGCCTCCTGGGATAGGTACTTCACCTTGCTCGTCTGCACAGTGGTCGGTACCTTGCCCATCGAGCAGATCTGGTCATGATCTTCCAGCAACATCATATCCGTGTGATGGCGCTCACGTAGTCGTTTCCATCGCAGGGTGCACTCTTCAATGTCCCGATCCAACTGGGCTACTATGCGCTTCTTAAGAACAGCATCCTGCCGGGAAGTCACATCCACGAGAGCCAGACACTGTTTATGTGCCTTGACCACAGCGGCATCCTTTACCAGCTGCTCCTGTCGCCGTGCCTCCTTGTGGACCTCACACATGGGCTTCGTTTCGTCTTCCTCCTTCTCCTCCCCTGGCAGAAGGCAATCTATTGCCCTAAAATAGTCAGTCATAATATCGCCCACCATATCGAAGAGTAATCGCTTCACCGGCTGGAAAGTGTGCTTGGCAAACCAGCGTTTCTCGTCGTTCACCCTGTAGTTGGGCCTCTCTCCGGCTGGCCAGAAGGGAAAGGTCACCACGAGATAAGGGTGTTTCGAGGAGTACTTTTCGCTACTCTTGGGAACCTTTGGCTTGGGCAATGGTGTAAAGTAGGGCGATCGAACGTTCTTAAAGTCTGATACCCTGTGCGTTGAGGGTGTCAGAGTAGATCTGAGGGTAATCGCAGGTTCTATTGATTTCTTTTTTTCAGACGCTCAACTCCTTTCGGCAGAATGCGATCCAATTCACGCATAGTTATTTCCAAGTCCAGAAAGGTAAGGGCTGACATTATGATTTTTTCGCTGTACGCAAAGCCTGCACCTTTGTAGCATGCCTCAAGGAGAAAGTAAAGAAATGCCACGTCACTGTTGCGGCAAACGGTGATCAACTTGTGCAACATCTTCGCCTTTCACCATGGGTGTGACTCCCAAGCGCCTCAGACAGAATTGGGTGCGGTAAACCGTAGCCTCAGCATGATCGTCCCGGATTGAGAAGGCCAGAGCCTCGATGGCCTGCACCTGAAAGTCAGATAGATTGGTATACCAAGTGGCCTTCACTGGCGCTCCCTGGTCTCGCATGGCTTATTTTTACTAGGTATTTTAAAATTGCAAAAATATATATAAAAAGGTGGATAAAATAACTTAAAATTTTGATATGATGCTATGTAAGCTTAGGCTTAAGGTGTGGATAAAACTGAATCATTTCTGATTTGACATGAAAGATGTTTCAAACGCTCACTTTTCGTTTTATAAATAATAAAGGTTGTAGGATCACACCCTTGAATCACTTTTTAGAACCTGAAACAGATATTAAATGAATGCAACTTAAATGAAAAACCAGTGAAAAATGCACTTTGCCATCCATCGTTCAATCTATCCACACTCTATTGCAACGGTATCTGAGACTGAATTGAAACGCCATTAATTTGCCACCTTCCATCAACTTGCAACAGGTGGCATACCGTTATTGTTGCTTTTTTTAACCATATACCTACTACCACCAACATAAGGGGGGAGCAGAGCCCATTTCCCCGTCCTGACAACTGACAATGATGGATTAGTTTATCAGAGCGGGCGGGGACATTCATTTGCTCTTTGTTTCGCAGTTGGAAATGGAAGGAGCCACACTTTCCCCCTTGGGGACTAATAACTTTATCCGTCATCAGAGCGAAATATAATAGAGTAATTTTCTATGTGACGCGCCAGGATAATTGGCTGGACTTGCGACTCGGACTTGGCCATATGTCGCTGCACTTGCAATCAGATAAATTGTGGCAGGAGGTGAGGATCTGTGGAGGGCGGAGGGCCAACAGAAGAATGGGCAAATCACATAAATTACTTTATGATGACCAGGACTCGGGCCATGAATCTGGTGAAAAGGGAGAAAAACTTTCTTTCAGCCTGGCACATGTGGTCACGGAAGGCAAAAAGAATAACAAAAAAGAAAAGGAGTGGCAACTTCCAGACTGCCGCAAGGAAGCAACAAAAGTCATTTCGAAGTTATTACCCCACTCCTCCAAAACATTTGGCCAGTATTAAAGCCTGGTCCAGTAGTCAGTTGCCATTTGTTTGTCGCTCCATAAAAAATAGCAGAGAAGGCGAGAAAACAAAAGTTTTCCTCCTTTTGCTCTATGAACTTTTGTCAGCTTCGCTCTGCGATAAAGTTTCTCCCTTCTTTTTTTTTTATATATTTCTTTTTGGCCAATTTTTATTTGTGACTGACCATTCAGAGGATTTTTTGCTGTTTGTTTTTTTGGCCCCCCAAAAAAGTTTCCCGTTCAAGGAACTTGCATGAAAAATGCAATTTCAAATAAAATTTAAGTTTTTCGGTTACTCCTGCTGCCAGCGCAATATGCAAATGATTAAATTTGAAAATATTAAGCTCCGAGGGAGTTGAATAAAGTCCAAAGTAGTAAGTGGATTGCGGTGTTTAAGTTGGACGGAAAACTTATACATTTGACATTTACTTCTATGAAATAATCACATTTATTGTTGTTCAAAAAATTCATTGTAATGAGAGTGCAATATGAAGTACAATATCAGAAGAATGATAAGGCTGAACCTACCCCAGATGCGGGTAAGGATTGAAACACCTTAAGAACTTTGATCCTAACTTACTTCCTTACAGATGAGAAGAACTTGCTGGTTGAAAGAATAGCTGTGGGCTTGTCCTGGTTATTTGTGGTCATATTCTTTCCCTTCTCCATCTGCCTTTGTCTAGTTGTGGCCAAGGAATTCCAGCGGCTAGTCATGTTCCGTTTGGGTCGTATCAGGTGAAGTTGTTTAACTATTTCAGTACATCATCCAACATTCAACCCACTTCAGGAATTGCTACGGTCCAGGCCTTGTCTGGCAGCTGCCCTGCATCGATAGCTATAATACGGTGGATATTCGCACGAATGTGGCTAATGTGAATCCCCAGGAGATGCTAACCAAGGATTCGGTGACGATAACCGTGAATGCAGTCGTGTTCTATTGCATTTATAATCCCATCGACTCGATCATCAAGGTGGACGATGCCCAGGATGTCACCGAACGGATTTCCCAGGTCACGCTGCGCAACATTGTGGGGTCGAAGAAACTCCACGAACTTTTGACCTCCAGGCAGCAGCTATCTCTGGAAATCCAAAAAGCTGTGGCCGAAATCACTGGGCGTTGGGGAGTAAGGGTAGAGCGGGTGGACGTGTAAGCTTGTCCTTGATAACTGATCCATCACTACATTTGTATATACCTTCCCAGGATGGAAATATCTTTACCAAGCAGCTTGGAGCGATCCCTGGCCAGCGAAGCGGAGGCGACGAGAGAAGCCAGGGCTAAAATCATCCTAGCCGAAGGTGAAGCCAAAGCCTCGCAGGCTCTAAAGGACTGCTCTGATGTGATGTCTGAGAACCAAATTAGTCTACAGGTATCTATGAGATAATTCCCTGTGTTATAAAACAAACCAAATCCTAACTTAACTTTTCCCATTTAGCTGAGGCATCTGCAGATTCTTTCGTCCTTAGCGCAGGATCGTCGGGTAAATATAATATTTCCCATTCCTTTGGCAATTATGGAAGCATTTATGGATGGGAAAGAGTCGTCTGAGCCAACCCAAGAAGACGAAGAAGAAGATCAAGAAGATGACGATGACCAAGATGATTATTTAAATTTATTCTCACCTAAAGTTTACATCACGGGCTCTCCACCGGAATCACTTAACGATCTCAAACCGGATGCCGATGATGATCGCGGCTTGGGACCTTCCGCCAAGGAGTCTACGCAAAGAAGAAAATGAACAGGAAAAAACCATACCAGTCCGCTCTTGGCAGTGGCCAGCATTCTTTAGATCCTGGCGACGGCCTAATGATGACGAACAACCATCAAGCAGTCGAAGGGTTCGAACTGAAGATGGCCAACCAACGTCTAGGAGAAGACCCAGGCGGCCTGATGAAGTCGATCCTTATCCACTTCTTCCTGACTCCTCAGAGCGTTATAAATCGAAGTCTGCCTCTACTCCTATTCCTCCACGTCCTGATCCGCCACCACTTCCTCAGATTCCTCCTCATCCACAGCTTCCGCCCATTCCTCCTCATCCAACTTTACCTCGTGTTCCCGATCCTCCCAAACCGCCTCCCAAATCTTCCGGCAAATAGGGATCACAAGGTACCGAAGTCCGACAGGATAAATTATTTTTAATCTTTAGATTTTATAAACTGAAATATAAAGATGCCAAAAACTTTTATGGCCACATAGTAATGGTTATTTAAAACTATTTTTGAACTATTTTTTGAATAATGAACGTCATGACTCTTATTTCAGTGTGAAAAATATACAAGAGATTTAAGTAATTTTCTTAAATTGTTAAAGATGTCATCCTTAAAATGGGGGCCAGAAAAGGGCTTCCACAAACCACCAGGACATAACATGATCACATCCCAAGAATGCTTGCAGCTGAAACGTGATCTAGACTTCGAAAATCAAGATGACTTCGAGGTTAGTCCCATGATCCTTTGCCTGATGCTAACCTTTTTGTTGTTTGTGATTGGTTTCTGGATCTGGCTGATATCGAGGAGCTGTATCTTTGCCTCAATCCGAGCAAGTTGGAAAAAAGAGTGGAACAAAACGTGAAGCAGCAGGTAAAACTCAGAAGAACGAAAGCCAAAATGTTCGTTTCCTTGATGGTCTGGCTAGGACAAAACTCCCAAAATGGCAGCTCGTCGGGGCTCGATATTACCTCACATATTTGGAAAAGAAATCCAATGAACGTTTCTTACGGATGCTCCCAACAAGACATATTGAAGCCTGACTACTGTTCCAAGATGGATTCCCCGGACACATCACCAATCTTAGTACACTCAGTGGCAGTCAAGGAGTCAGATACAGGATCTTTATCAAGCTGTTCAGCAACCTCTGGAATGAAAAACGAAAAGGAAGTGGTTGCATCTACTTCCCAGGCTGTGGCTGGATCACCAGCAACTAATGATAGTACGTCCTCTCCTTTGGGAATGGAAAGTCCACAACCGAAAAGGAAGTACGGAATAAAGTGGTCCAGTTTTATGAGGCGCGGTCGAAGGGATCAGTCTGGAACTTCGTGATATTACCTTCGGATAATCTAGTTACATAATTATTTGTTTTAATGGAAATAAAAACAAAAACGCTCTAATATAATACATCACTTTCTTTACTTTCCAGGGAAAAAATTTAAAGTTTAGTAATAAAAAAGAACATTTTAAGAAGGCTGCGAAAAATATAACGAAAATATTCGCTTTAGAAATAACAATGAATCCAGCTTGCAAACTGAATCTAGATGGCAAAGAGTGTCAGGTGTGGATGGACGAGGTGTGTGCCCACTGCGCCCAACTGCTGCCCAGTGTGGAGGATGCCGATCTCTGGGACAAGTGGTGGGCGGACGAGCTCCCTGCTCCTTTCAAGCCCAGAGTTAACCTGATGTCCGCTTATGACTGCCACAAGCTGCGCAAGGAGGTGGCCAGACAGGTTTCATTACACGGGGATAAGCAATGGTATGAGGACGGAGGAAACCCAGCCTCATGGACGGTCTGTACGCTAATCCTACTTATTATAGTGATTTTTTGCTCGGTAATAGCTTTGATATGTGCCTTGAAAATCTTATTTGATGGAGTAAGACGATGGTCGGTTCGCGTGAAATGCCGTCCTACTAAGGTAGTTAAGGCCGAGAAGCAGGTTTCACCGAAACCACCAACACCGCCTCCCTGCAAGCCGAAACAAGGAGCCTAAATCCTTTATCTCCTTTGGTAGAAACACCGATCCGCGAACCCGTTTTGGCCCGTATAAACACCAGAAGCTTCTCAAGATCGCCTCCACTAAGGAATGCAATCTGGTGGAGACCATTTCAGCCAAGTCAAAGTCATCACCCCGAGTGGCCCAGGAAAAGGACCAGCACGTCCAACGCCAATCGAAGAAAAACAAATCGGCCACAAAATAACCGTCGAGGGAAGCTTTGGCCCCGGCCAAAAAAAAAAAAGAAATCGGAAAACAAATTCGAAGGCTGTCGGAGCTGTGCTCAATCGCGGATAAGATTTATGAAATGTGTTCCGCCCCGATTTGTTCTCTTTTTTCCCGGTTCGCTTCTAGTCGGTTTCGGTTTCGGTTTCCTTTTTTTAACGTAGCCGTGCAGCGGCGAAATACAAAAACAAATAAATATTCAGAAGGTGGCACAGTGGCTTGCAACTGGGTCAAAAAGTTTGTTTTTAATAAATTTCTAAAGCTGGTAAATAATATATTTTATGGGGATTTCGTTTATAGGAGGGAATTTATTGATTAATTAAGGCTTCTATGTTATTTAAAATCTATTAAAAAATTGTATATTCAAAAAGAAAGTTGAAAATGTTATAGTCTATGGCATCTCGACTTCATTAGGATGTTACTGTGGAGACTTATTACCCCTCCAACCATCAATCTTTAAACTTTAAAGCTAATATAAGAACATAAGTAGGTAAGTTTGGTCTAAGTTAAAAACATAAAACATTTTAAATCAGAATATTAACTTTGTTAAGCAAACCAAGTAAGTTCTTATTGAAAAATATGTAGTAAGTCCGAAGTTCTTTTTGGCTTACAGCAACCCACTGTAGGCATGCCCCTTTAGTGGCAGTGACTGGATCGGGATCGGGATATACACCCAAAAAGCATGCATGCTCCCCGTACATTTGGCCGGAATGACCTCAGAGAAGTGGCTGGCCAAGTGTTGTTCCTGGCAGCGTATCAACATTTTGCCTATAAATACGGCGGATGTCGTTAATCTCAAATACAAGCAATTTTTAAAAATTCATGGGGTATTGTTTATCGCATGGAATGGGTTGGATGTTTCATAGGATTGGTGGAGGTCGCAGAACACAACACGGAATGTACAGAGGGAGGGGGGGCAAGAGAATGAGTGAGTGTCAGAGTGCATGGGATTGGCAATAAAAAAACAATTGAATTTAATTTCGATTGAATGCACACTCAAATCGAAATTGCAGCAAACAATTTAGACAAAATGCATTTGTATTTACGTTATGTCTAAATGATTGCTCAAATTATGGCTGCCAGATGAAATTTATATGCCTTTTTCCGCCAGCATTTCTTTTTTATTTAATGAATTTATTTGTGGATTTTGGTGGGGCTTGGTGCTGGTCATGGGAGTCGTCGGGCATCGTATATTCCAAACTGGTGTGTCACAGCAGGCGTGGCACTTAAATCACGGCCCCAACTGTAGCAAAATTGAAAACTTTTACTATATACAGTATGTTTGTTTGGTCATTCGTTGGACTGTTTGTTTGTTTGTTTGTTGGTTGGTACTTTTAATTCATTCCATGCAGCTGCCGACCTAGAGGAAAAATTAAAAAAAAAAAGTGGAGATGTAGAAGAAGGGTTTGGGAGGTTGGCGACCCTTGGCTGACTTTGATTTATTTGTTGGTCCCGTCTCGCTATCCAAATGGTATTAAAAGTTTAACAGCTTTCGAATGCGCTTTAGTGCTTTAAAAACGCATTGATTGCTATTGACAAATTGATTTTCTTTCCTGCCCGAATGCCAATTTCAGTTCGATTCGATACGAATCCGAGTCCATTCGGGTGCATTTAACAAAGGGCCCAGCGACATTATGACAGACTGTCGTCGTAAATCAGCAGCCGCAGACCACAAACGAGTTGAGGCTTCTGTGTTTCTGGTCGTGTCAACCACTCTTTGCGATTCAAACCCTTTAAACGTTCGACACTTGGACATTTAATTTAACCAAACAATTTAATAGGTATCCCTTCGATTTGAAGTATTTGCCATAATTAAACTTCAAAGTGCAATACATATACTAGTATTTGCAATATTTGTAACTTCTTGAGTCCAATTAGAATTCGATTTGCTGCCGCTTGTTTGGAGAAATTTATTTATCGAATCAATCACGAGGTCCATTGATTGAGGTTCGTTCAGAAATTATTTACCCACATTGATTTGTCCCTATGGGTAGTTTAGCTTTGAAAAATTGCCACACATTGTTGGTCCTTCCTTTGAACTGAAACAGAAATTGATGAAGCCATTGATCCTGTACGGCTTCTGCTGCATACTTTGCAGCGCCTCCTTCTATTGTGGGTTTGACCAAAGTCCAGAGTCCTAGTTCCTGGTTCCCCGTTCCTGGTTCATCCGCCATGTGGCATTCGTAAGCAGGAAGGCACACATCCATTTCAGAGAGCGTCGACAGCTGGCGGTTTAGGGGGTCGAATGGCTGGGCAGGCATATTAGAATTTGATAAATGTGCAGCATGGAAGACCAGGACGAAGTGCAGTGGGTTATACGTTGCACTGGGAGAATGTCCTGTGGTTTAGCTTTATGATGTTTAACTATGACCATAGCCCATAATTTGAGTGCTTTCTGACAGAAGGCAAGGGTTACTAAAGGAAGGGTTACTAAATCAAACACAAATTGTAATTAATTTGATTTGGTAACAGAGGAAGCTATTACTATAAGGCTGATAGATAGAAGATAAATATTAAAATATTTATTGGCATCAAAAATATTATTTAAAAACCCATTTAGTATTTTGACTAGTGTAATGCAGCATTGTTTCCAGGGTTCAGCTTCATTCTTTACACGATTTAACTCGTTGATTTTGTGGCTTACACTCATTAAGCCAGCCTGGCCCTGGCCAATGCCATTGTTTGTTTATGAGTTGAAAGGAGTTGAGGATGAGGAAAAAGCTGGTAACCAAGCCTGGACAATCACCAGGGCCCGGCCCGATCTCTCTTACTTTGGCCATTTAAGCAGGCTGCACAACAAGGGCTCTTTGTTTGATTGAGACTCGTATCGTTGGTCTTCGCCACGAAGTTGGATGGATTCACATGCGGTTGTTCATACGCCACATCGGCCCACACCATCTGAGACCACACATGCCCTCAATCGCTAAAGATGTGGCCTGCATTTCGACGCTGATTTTTATTCTCCGTCGTCTAGAACGTCCAGGACACCCTGACTTGATTTATTTCAATGCCCTTTGCGCGCCGGCTGCAAGTCCCCAGCTGGCCATTGTGCTGGGGCATCTCACTTTTCAAGAACTCAAACAAAGTATTAAAACGCAGAAAAACGATATGGAAAATATTAATAATACGCCTGGCCAATGGCCAGCGATTCTTTGGCCACAGTCTTGGAATTTACGATTCCGTTCGCCATTGATTTATTCCGCCCACGGTCGCGCCCCCATACAATTTGACCTCATTACATATTCAGGGGTCAGCCGCGGTGGTTTTAAAGAGTTCAAATATTTGCTTCTGCCGATTATTGTACTAATTTTCTTTTCAGTTTATCGCAAGCTGAACATAAATCCTGCATAATTCAACGATGGGTGGTATCCATTCAGATCGCATAATGTGGCAATCGGCAAGCGAACAATTGGTAAATATGAATTTTAGATATGTTTGAATTTGAATTACATTTTGATAGTAGTGGGGATGAGGATGTGTTTGCATTCCGAAACATAAGCACATAATTTTACAGGATATAGGTATCATTGGTTTTGTTTGTCATTTTCTGGCTGTCTTGTGGGCTTGACTCAAATGTCAGTAGTTTAACCAGAAATACCTTACTAAACTTTAAACTAACATTACACATTTCACATTATTAAAACTGCCTTTTTGTCCTTGACTAAAATGTTACCTTTTAACCTAAAATAGTTTCTTTGTTTTAAGTAATTCGACAAAATTATTAATTGCACTTGACTCATACCCCCAATTAATATAAAACTGACTCCTTAATTGATTTGAAGCTTTTAAGATTGCACTTAAATATCAACTAACTGACAAGAACAAAGCAAAAGGTGGCTTTGGGCACTGTTAATTATTTGAATCGTTGATTGAATGAGCTCACTTAAAATAGTTGTTAATTAAATGGATTTTATGCAAAGTCATGCGGCTTTTGTAAACTTTAGATTGTCATTATAAATCCATGACAAACGACAGCAGGCCGAACAGTCCAAAGACAGAGAGAGAGAGAGAGTAATTAAACAATTTAATGATGGTTAATAACAAGTCTATGTGACAGCCTTAACCTCAATTGTGGAGCTTCGTGGGAGACAACCTTTTTGATTATGTGCAAATCAGTTTTCACAGCAAATTAGGCAGCCACACATTATAACTTTGACAGACAGGTCCAAAAGACCCGAGGGTGTCCTCGACCGCAGACTCATCCCCTAGTTAAGCAAACCCCCAAACCGCCCCTTTTGTCATCATTTTTCGTAGACAGTGAAAAGTTCGCCCGAAGGCTCTTAAAAGTACACATGTAGCATATGTATGAGGAGCATCAAAAGTTTTAAAGCAGCTGTCGACGCAGGAGAACGGGGTAATCCTCAACCAGCCAGCCAACCTACATGCCCCATCAAACCTTCTCACCAAAAGTCACACAGAGGCCATTGTTGGAAGAAAATAAGAAATAAAAAAAAGTAAGAACTTTTCGCGGCCACGGAACCATGAAAGAGCCAAGAAAATTCAAACAAAAGTGCAACCAACTTCGGGGGCAAACGGTTGCGACTCCTTTTTAATTTTTTCACCGCCCGTAGAAAAAGTTTCACTTTTTTGTCATTACTTTTTCCATTCGAAAGACATTTAAACACTTGCCTTGTAATTTATCTGATGGCTGGCCAGTGTGTGAAAACAATAAAAAGTAATATATAATATCAGAATATAAAACTTAAAACGATTTTTACACATTTCCATTCTTAAACCTCCCAAATTATCAATAATTTTATAAACGAATTATAATCGTTTTAAAGCCTCTTGCCGTTACAATTTCCAAAAAAGTGTAAAATATCCAAACCCACAACAACCCTTGAATCAATTTAAATGTATGCTTTTATGCAAACAGTTTATTTTTGTAGGGGAAAACCATCAAAAACAATTTAATGGGGGAAATTATTTAAAAATGTATTATTTTTTGTTATCATATTAAATTTTGGGGGAGTTATTTTGGCTTTGATATTTGATATTTAATACATGTATTTGCTTAGTTTTACTGAACTATAATTTATTTTTACAAACCTAATACAACTTTATTAAACTTCCTCCCAAGTCCAGCACTTTGGTCTCAGCCATTTCTCCGGTCATATCTTATTAGGTGCCTTGTGATGTAACCAGCAT